TGAATGTACACAGAGCTCTGAGGTTTACAGAAGCAGAGCTATTAGCATGTCAGATCAGAATGTACCTACTATATACCTTGGCAAAATAAAATGACAGAACTACTATAAAACAAGGTAAGTAGAGACAGTAAATAGGAAAGAGTTTTGCCTATTACTCTACCTGTAATAAAAGTTAAAAAAAACTTTATTCAAAACTGAAAATCAAATAATGAAAGCATTATATTACAGTATTTAATTGTATGCTACATACTAAGTGTATTTATTAATTTTAGGTGGTGGATGAAATGAAAGGGAATAAGAAGGAAAGCAAGGTAACCTGCCACTGCTTACAGCACAAAAATAATGGACATGCTCTAAAAGAAACAGAGAACATAGGGTAATTTTATTAAGATAAAGGTAACAAAAATAAAATCCAACCTATGTCCATCTATATCTAACTATCTCTATACTACAGAGTCAGTGACTTTAAAAATGAGTATTATATTGGGGTGCCTGGGCGGCTCAGTCAGTTGGGGCATGTGACTTTGATTCAGGTCATGATCTCATGACATGTGGGTTTGAGCCCCATGTTGGGCTCTGTGCTGACAGCTCAGAGCCTGGAGCCTATATTGGCCTTTGTGTCTCCCTCTCTCTGCCTCTCCCCTGTTCAGACTCTGTCTCTGTCTCTCTCAAAAATAAATAAATAATTTTTTAAAATGGGCAAGGGGCACCTGGGTGGCTCAGTTGTTTAAACGTCCAACTTTGGCTCAGGTCATGATCTCACAGTTTATGAGTTTGAACCCCATGTCGGGCTCTTTGCTAATAGCTCAGAGCCTGAAGCCTGCTTTGGATTCTGTGTCTCCCTTTCTTTCTGCCCCTCCCCTGCTCACACTCTGTCTCAAAATAAATAAACATTAAAAAAAAAAAAAGTTTAGTTCTAAAGACATGTAAAAAGAGAAGACTGTAGCTACACTGAGTGGGAGTCAACAGTGTGAGGCTTCTTAAGTTTTAGAGGTTCTTTTCCTCCACAAATGTGTGAACGTGTTTACTGGTGATAGGAAAAGAATGAGTAATGAGAGAGGCTGCCAAGGTTACACTTTTACAAATATGTAAGGTCCTTAATAAGAGAAGTCAAAGATCCCTAATTCTTGGTAGGAATTATCCTTTGAGAGCTGGTGAAACAAGTGAAATATTAAGGACAGGAGTAGACGGGCCCAAGTGCATTCATCTACCTATAATATACATCATAGGATTAAATTTAGAGCCATGGTCTAAATTTAAGTTTGTCTGATGGTCCAAATTTCCTTTAAGTTTTCTATTGGGAGTAAGGGAAGGTGGAGGAAGGACAAGGGTGGTTGAAAGAAGATGAGGGCCTGAAAACCAATGTTTTAAGACTGAAAGCTGAGGAGACTAAGCAGGAGATGGCTTATGGAAAGGATTACTTGATAGTTCTGGGAGCTCAGTGAATCAGAACCAGTCTCATACTGCACTACAGTAAAGATGTAGAGATTCAAGTATCTGTATTTAGCAAAAAATGGGTGTTTTGTGGCCTTGAATAAATTGATTCAAGGAAAAGTGCTAAAGCCAGTCCAAAAGGGTTGACTAGTGCATAAAGAAAAGGGTAGGGCGAGGAGACTATGAAAGGAAAAAAAGGAAGGGAAGAGTTCACCATGTTATATTCTGGATAAAACAAAACATAGAAAATTATTTTTATTTAAGTAGGCTTTATGCCCAGTGTGGAGCCCAATGCAAGACGTGAACTCCTGACCCTGAGATCAAGACCTAAGTCAAGATCCAAGAGTCGGACACTTGAGTCAGCCAGACACCCCAAAACACAAAAAATTTAATATATAGCTCAGCTCAACATGACAGGAGAATCCCTAAATGCTTGAAGATGAGGCCTCAGGACCTGGATGGTAAAAGGCTAATAAGCTCTCCCTGTGAAAAGTTCAGAAATATGAAAAGTTCTCTCCAAGGGGCACCTGGCTGGCTCAGTTGGTAGAGCATGCAACTCTTAAGTTTTTTTTTAATGTTTTTTATTTATTTCTGAGAGAGAGAGAGAGAGAGAGAGAGAGAGAGAGCGCGCGCGAGCACACACGTGCAGGGAAGACACAGAATCTGAAGCAGGCTCCAGGTTCTGAGCTAGCTGTCAGCACAGAGCCTGAAGCGGGGCTCGAGCCCACAAACCGTGAGATCATGACCAGAGCCGAAGTGGGACGCTTAATCGACGGAGCCACCCAGGCGCCCCTAGATGCAACTCTTGAGTTTGGGGTTGGGGGTTTGAGCCCCATGTTGAGTGCAAAGATTACTTTAAAAAATAAATAAAAATTTAAAAAAAAGAAAGAGCTGTCTTCATTCTTTAAATAGGAACTAAAAAAACTGCACTATTATCATTATCCGCTGTCTTTTAAAAGCATGAAGAAACTAACCATCTATCAGGATATAAATGGAAATAAGAGACTGGAATTTCAGACCAGTTCGTTGGTGGACCTAAAGGATTTACACTTTCTACTCACAACAAGAAGCCCTAGGTTAGGTATTAACATTTTAAGACCATCAGTTAAAGACCCTATGATGTTTCCTATGTGTTTCTTTTTAGGCATTCTATCTGGTTAAGGAAGGTTCTTTCTTTACCAATTTGGACAAGACTTTTCATCATGCATGAATGAATGCAGAACGTTATATAATGCTTTCTTTCTTTTTTACATTTACTGAGATGATCATATAGCTTTTTTCCTTTAATCTCTTAATGTGGTTGTATTTCTAACATTAAATCAATCTTGCATTCCTGGCATAACAGATACATCCTAAATTGGTTCTGTAATCCCTCGTCTTTTAAGAACTGTATCTGTATTATAAATCAGAGTATCATGTAGGTATCTTTGTCAGGATTTAGCATCAAGGTGGTATCAGAATCTCATTAAATGAGTGGGGAGTTTTTTTCTTCATTTTCAATTCTCTGGAAGGTTATAAATTACTGGTTAAGATTGACATGATTTCCTATTTGAATTTTGATAGAATTTGCTAAGTGAAGTTATTTGGGCTTTCTGGAAAGAGTTTTTTACTACAGATTCAATTTATATAATAGGAACAGAATTACTGAAGTTTTCTTTTTTTTAGTATACTTTAGCAAGTTCTATTTCTAGGAATTTGTCCATTTAAACCTAACTTGCATTCAATGGAATAAAGTTATTTGTATTATTTTTACCTTTTAGTGCTGCCTATGCCTACTATATCTGCTATAATGTCTTCTTTCTTCATTATGGATACTGGTTTTCTAAGTTAATTTCTTTCTTAATATTATAAGTACATCGAAGAGCTAACTTTTGGCTTTGTTTTCTGCTTCATTTCTGTTAACCTTTTATTATCTTTTCTTTATTATGTCCTTGCAAATACTTTGCTATTCTTTCTCTGACTTCCTGAGAGAAATGTTTACTTCATTTCTTGCTTTCTCTAACACAGCATTTAAGGATATATATTATCTGCTATCTAATATATTACTTGAAATGGGTGCCTGAGTGGCTCAGTTGATTAAGTGTCCGACTTTAGATTAGGTCATGGATCTCATGGTTCGTGAGTTTAAGCCTCACATTGGGCTCTGTCCTGACAGCTCAGAGCCTGGAACCTGCTTCAGATTCTGTGTGTGTGTGTCTCTCTCTCTCTGCCCCTCCCATGCACTCTCTAAATTAAAGAAACATTAAAAATTTTTTTAAAAATATTACTTGAGGTTACTTCTATAAATTTTGAAATATGGTATTTTTATCTTTTAGTTCAAAATATTTTCCCATTACCACTGTGATATTTTTCTTTCACTGACTAGAAACTAAATTTTCTCAAAACCTAACAGGGTTTTGTTTTTTTAATCATCTTTTATTTTAAAAATTGGTTGTTTGTGGCTTGATCAACTTGATTTCAATTCTCCAAAATTGGTGTTACTTTATGACACAGATAATGGCAGAAAATTTTATTTAAATAAATGTTTCATATATGTTCAAAATTTTTGATTTTCAGAGTAACTGGATTCATAGTTCCATACCAAACATTATAGGTGGAATTTGTTAATGTGTTATTCAAATCTTTCAAATGTCTTTGCTTATTTTTTTCTTCTACTTTTTGAATCAGTTACTGAAGGAGATCTATTAAAATCTTCCATATTGTGGTAAATATAACATTTCTCCCTACAGTTGTCAGTTTTTGTGTTGCATATATTTTTATGGTAGAACAGATTTTTTTTTTTTTTTAATGTTTTATTTATTTCTGAGAGAGAGAGAGACAGCGTGAGAAGGGGAGGGTCAGAGAGAGAGAGGGAGATACAGAATCCGGAGCAGGCAGCTCTGAGCTAGCTGTCAGCACACAGCCCAATGCAGGGCTTAAACCCACGAACCGTGAGATCATGACCTGAGCAGAATTTGGCCACTTAACCGACTGAGCCACCCAGGCGTCCCAAAACAGATTTTTAAAATAAATCCCTTTTCCCTCTTTTCACTTTAAGGATCATGACCAATAATCTTGTTTCTTATATTCAAATTTACCTGTTTTTTGGTAGAGATTGGGCACAGTACATCTTGAAAGGCATGTTTCCTGGTCAGTCTAGTTGAAAGCTAACTTATAACATGCTTTAAACTGCAGTTTTCTATAACTAATCCCTTAAAAAGGAAAATACTAAAGTTCTCAATTTATTGTTCTTAAAATACCTCATCCATTAAAAATCAAAAGGCTTACCAATACTTTCAAGTTTCCAAAGGACTCTTAAATAACAATTTTTACTGCTGCTACTGCCTACTGTGTACCAGGCATTGTGTTTTCAAAGACTAATGCAATCATCCCAACAGACTTATGAGGTTTTAGGTCTATAGTTTTTACAAAGGTAGTAAATAGGAAAGTAACAGAAACCTGAGGCCTACTACTATTCATCACCAAATGTCAAATAAATGCCTTCAACAACAGAGATCCTCTTCACCAAAATGAGTATCTCTTTCAGTGTGCGCACCAAACATCCAAGATTGGCTTCATTTAAGTACCTTGTACTTCTGTCTCAATTCTTCTGTGTCTTCTTTTTCTACTTCTAGGACACGGCGCCGTTCGGTAGCATCTTCAGCATAATCGAGCTTCACAAAAATAGATATAATTAGTCTTAATTCCTAAAGAACCCCCAATTAGCTATTAAAAAGTCATCTGTACAACTACACTATTGCATGAAAATGAAAAACTTCAGCTATCTTTTGCTTTATTGTCACCCCACAGAGAAATATGTGTGCCAAATAGCTAATTAATCCGTTCATGCTGGTGGTTCCCAACAGGCACATTTTTTGATAATTACAGACTTGACTTTACCGTTCAATGCCAAAGAATTAGGAGTAAATGGAGAAAAGATTTTAGGCAATGAAAACAAGGTATCACAGATGACAGCTGTACACAGGGGCAAAGCTTCGACCATAGCAAACGTGTTTAGAGTTGAACAACAATGGCTAATGAAATGAGCACCAGGGTCTGGGCTTTAAGTCTGATCTTGCTTTGTGGTACAACCCTGGACAAAACATTCAGCTTCGTGGAGCGCCCAGGTAGCTCAGTCAGTTAGGCATCCAACTCTTGATTTCAGCTTGGGACATGAGATTGAGCCCTGCGTAGGGCTCAGTACTGAGCTTGGGGTTCTCTCCCTTCCTCTCCCTCTGCCTCTCCCCTGCTTGCAAGCACTCTCTTCTCTGTTTCTCTCAAAATAAAATACAAAACAAAACAAACCCTAAAAACCGAGAAAACAAAAAACAACATCCAACTTCTTTATGCCCCTGTTAAAATAGGGGAATTATCTGTCATCTACCTGTCTCAAAGGCAGCACCAAGTGAGAATGTAAAACGGTGGGTGGGGGGGTCACCTGGGTGGTTCGGTCAGTTAAGCATCTGAATCTTGGTTTCAGCTCAGGTCATGATCTCACAGTTTCATGGGTTCAAATCCCACATCTGGCTCTGTACTGCCAGGGCAGAGACTGCTTGGGGTTCTCTCTCTCTCCTTCTCTCTGTCCCTCCCCCACTTGCGCTCTTTCTCTCAAAATCAATGAATAAGTTTTTTAAAAATTTAAATATATATATATTAAGTTTATATTTTAGAGAGAGCACATGAGTGGGGAAGGGGTCAGAGGGAAAGAGAATTTTTATTTATTTTTTGAAGGTTTATTTTGAGAGAAAGAGTACAAATGGGGGAGGGTCAGAGAGAGAGAGGGAGACAGAGAATCTAAAGCAGGCTCTGCACTGACAGCAGGGAGCCCGATGTGGGGCTCAAACTCACAACCTGTGAGACCATGACCTGAGCTGAAGTCGGACACTTAACCAACTGAGCCACCCAAGTGCCATGAGAAATTTTTTTTTTAAGTTTATTTACTTATTTTGAGAGAGAAAGCACACGTGTTGAGCGGGGAGGGGCAGAGAGAGAATCCCAAGCAGGCTCCACACATAGCAGGGAGCCTGATGCAGGGCTCGAATTCAGTAACCGTGAGATCATGACCTGAGCTGAAATCAAGAGTCAGACGTTTAACAGACTGAGCCACCCAGGAGCCCCTAATGAGAGAGAATTTTAAGCAGGCTCCATGCTCTGTGCTGAGCCCATGACTCTGGGATCATGACCTGAGCTAAAATCAAGAGTCAGACGTTCAACCAACTGAGGCGCCCCAGAAAGTAAAAAATATTTTTAAATGATCAAAGAAAAATATTAAAACTACATTCTATCTAATAAATGTATTCTTGCATTAGCATATGAATTTAGAATTAATATCAATGAATACAACATTAAAAAAACAAACTAATGAGGTCAATTTACCTCCATTTCCATGCGACCCATGCCCATGACATCATACTTGACAACAATCGGAATGGGATCCGTTCTCCCTGTAACAGGAACACATTATCAAGGTAAGAAGCAAAGCTAAGCCAACAGTTCACTGTATACATTGGGTTTGGGTGGTTAGAGATCTTGCCTTGGAGTGCAGAGACCAGAAAGCTACAGTGAACCAAACACAAGCCATTCTCACAGCTTACGACCAAACCTACCTCTCCCAGTTTAAGCCCAACTAATCACCTTGACGTTCCAGGTGGAAATAATTCCAGATTGCTATGGCAAAATTAAATAAGTAATGCAAAGCACTTCTAAGCAATGGCACCAGGAGATTTAAAATCAAAAACCTTAGAAATTGCTTTTTAAAAAGACCTCCAAATAACTTTCCATTAAGAATCACTTCACTCTTACTGTCCACTGACATCCCCCCACACACACTTTTAAAACTAGTAATAAATAACTCAAATGACATGCTTAAATAAAAAAACAAGCAGAGTTTCAAACCTGATACAGAAAAACTCCATAATGGCAACTCAGCATTTTCAATATTTTTTTGTTTTCAAAAGATGCTTTACATTTAACTGGGACTATGAAAAATTTTTAAATAAAAAGCAACAGTTAGTTGCCCTTAGGGACAAAGAATTTTACTTTTAAACTGGTGCTCTGAGGTCCCATTTTCCAGAGTGGATTTAACACTGGCTGTAGCAATCGGTAAGCTGTGAAAAGGACTAGTTGCGAAGAAAATTGACTTTTAACTAATCAATCTATGCTGGAGATTTTTTTTAATGTATATTTAATCCACTCATAACCAGCCAAACAAAGCAAAATGGGGCAGACAAGCACTTTACTACCACAGCTGTTTTACATCACAACTTGCGCTTTTTATTGTGATGTAAGCCCACTGAAAAGAGGACTTACCTTATCTGTTGCACACCTTTAGTGAAAAAACACAATGTTTACTTCCCTCATCATTTCACTCAGGCTGGTGTAAACAATTGTTTTTTTGTTTGTTTTGTGTTTTTGTTGTTGTTATACACACATATGTATTATACCTTTGGGCTAAAAGAGGAGTTTTGTCAGGCTAAATCTGAGGTATTACCAAAACCAATTAAAAATAAATAAATGCTCTATTCATGAGTGGAGGTCCTGGAGAGAAAAAAGAAGAAACTATTCTCAAAGTGACTGGCAACCACTTACATCCAGTTACTCCATATTTGTGTGTAATTTTTGTATTTAAAACATAATGAAAAACAAATTCAGGATTTACTTATCACCAATATCTCATTATTGTTTTTAAACAATAAATAAGGAGATAATTAAGAATAATTAACACAGTGAAAGTTGAAGTTAATAAAGATCATTTCATGCCAGAAAAAAAAAAAAGAGAGAAAAAAGTTCTAAAATACAGCCTTCTTTTAGATACTATTAAAGACTGCCAGTTAAAATGAAAATGCATGACTACCTTATGCCCAATGGTATAATAAATAAGCAGTGACTGCAATCTTTAGCAAAAGGACCAAATTAAAGACAGGTTATAAAAATGACTTCCTAGGTGCAATATCACTTTCATAACGTCTCAATCAGGGATTTACTGGTAAAATACACAAATGGTCCAATGAAAGAATTGAAAAGAAATGTCAAAGAAATTTCCTTTTTTGTTTTGTTTGGTTTGGTTTAGTCTGCCAGAATTTGTTTTGCAAGAATCAAGAAAGTTTTGGCACAGATTTCATTACCTCTGTAAACCCCTGTTTATAAACTCTGCATTAGTACTTTTGCCTCCTAAGGCAGTCAAAGTTTGTTTTAATTTATTTATAAATTGCAGTAGCAAGTGCTAGTGCCCATTACATTGTGGGGAAATCAAGTTTTTGACAGTATTAGAATTTAATGTTTTAACTGATTTTTTTTGGCAGTTCTAACACAAACAGATACATCCCTTCTTAACATTACCCTTTAATGAACAAGGATCAGACAAGTTGCATAAGGAAAGGAAAGGAAAATGAAAAAGACCAAGCAGAAGGATGAAGGCTACAACAGAGAAAGTAAGCCTAACATATTGGTGCACTGATGACAAAAGGAGTAATTCAGTCTGAAAATAAAAAATTACCACTGCTAAGTTTACCATCACCACAACAAGTCCAGGATCATAATGCTGTAAAAAAGAAACACCATCTGTTAGGCAGAAACCATGAGGGCAGGAAACAGGCCTTCTAGCAGGCAGATAAGGAGGGGTAAAGTAACTATTGGTTTGTCCCTCCCCCAATTTCAGCTGCAGACAGAGGAAGGACACTTCCAGCTCCAGCAGTTGTTTTCACATTGGTCTGACAGGGGTGTGAGATTTTTGCGCTGTTACTTGAGAATATGTCCAACCTCCTCTTTAATAATGCATGGGCGGGGGGGGGGGGGGGAGTGTGTTACAGTGAGAACTTGCTCTAGCTTCCAATCCCTCACTTAACTATTCATTCTGGTAAATCTGTATTCAGGGCCCAACTTGAGACTTCTCCTTGAAGAAATAACATCAAAGACAGATCAACTGGACTGTGATCAAGTCATTTCCTTTAGTAAAAGAACTCTAAGAGGATTTGTGGGTTGGGAGGGGAATCATCAAGACCTTGTTAAAAAAATATAAAAAGTTAAGAGGTCTGGAAAATAACCTTGTACACTAAGTGCTTAGAAAACTTCTGTGCATTAGAGTTCTGTTATGAATGAATAAAACCCTTCCAGCAGCTTCCCTCAGAAATTTGTTTTCTTTTAATGAAGTGTTCCCAGGCTTGCCAACATCTTTCTGCATACAACAAAGCCAAGCTTTGGAGACCAGGAACTCCAGAAAGTGGCATCAAAATGGCTGTCACATTTACAATTAATCCCCTCAGAGGTAACTCATCACAGAAAATAAACGGTCTGGCTTTAAAAATAATCTGAAGGTATTGTAAGAACATTGTTTGGTGACAGGGAGGAACTACACTTAACTGCTGAATCATTATCCTGCACATCTAAAACTATATAATACTATATGTTAATTACACTTCAATTAAAAAATATATATAGGGGCGCCTGGCTGGTTCAGTCAGTGAAGCATGAAACTCGATCTTGGGGTCCTGAGTCCAACCCCCACAATGGGCATAGAGCTTACTTACAAAAAATATGTATACATATATGTGACAACGACAACAACAATAACAACAACAAAACCCAAAACAAAAAAACAGTCTGAAGATGACTTTACTGTGTGGGCCAAGCAGCAATTTCTTTCCATTATTAAAAAGGCTCCAAACCAAGGAAAAAAATCCTAGTGGAAAAAACAAAATTCCTCTCTATTCATTCATTTGTGATTAATGACAAATCCTATCATAAAGAACACCATCATGGAACACCTGAGTAACAACTTAGAAGGATGACTTCAAAAGGTGAGTAGCAACCAAATGTTTGCTGATAGGATATTCTCTAGAAAACTCAATTTCTGTTTTAAAATAATTGAACTAGGGGTTCTACTGGCTGGTTGAGTTGGTAAAGCATGTGACTCTTGATCTCAGGGGTTTAAGTCCCTGCCCCATGTTGGGTATAGAGGTTACTTAAAAATAAAATCTTTAAAAAATAAAATAAATTGAACTAAATCTATGTTCCCTACTCTTAGTTTCCTTTAAAGGAGAAAATATTTAAGATCCATTAAATTAACATTTTGTTATTTATTTCACTCTAAAGGAGGCAACTTCAACCAGAACACTAAATATTTTCCATAAAAGAAACTGTCCTCCTCAGTCAAAGATCAATAAATACCATGACTGTGATCCAGCCAACTGGAGAAGGGAGGCAAAACAAAAATAAAAAACAAACAACCTACCAGATCTTGAAATATGCCAATACCAACGTATTCATATGATGGGAAAAAAATTTATATTCCTATTTTCTAAATCAAAACTTTAAAACGTGCACATATACATCTCTTGCTAATATGTGCGCCTGGGTGACTCAGTTGGTTAAGCATCCAACTCTTGATTTCGGCTCAGGTCATGATCTCAGGGTCCTGGGATACAGCCCTGCGTTGGACTCTGTGCTGAAAGCATAAAGCTTGCTTCGGATTCTCTCTCTATTCCCCTCTCTGCCCCTCCCTCGCTTGCACTCTCTAATAAACTTTTTAAAAATGTGAAGCTATTACGACTTATCATAACTAAAGAGAGAGAATAAGGCCAAATACAAAAATTCAGATTGTCTGTAGCCTCCTTGTTTCTTAGAATAATCTCTCATGAATCACTTTTGATTTTACGATAGTTAAAGATAACACTAATCTACAAAACTGGCCCAAAGAATTGGACTGAAGAGAAATACTTTTTTGAGAAACACTATTTTTAAAGAGAAAAACTCCAGTAGAACAATTGAGAAGAAAATATTAAAGAACAACCATAATTTGGTAATCAGTCACACTTCATAATCAGAAGACATAGGATTTTCCTACAGGAACAAATTAGAAATGAAGAAGATTCCAAAGTGGTTAAAATACTAGTTGGATAGTCAAGAGATACAAGAACACATCAATTTCTTTCTGCTGCCATTCCCCTAAGATTCATTCAACAACAAATATTCGTTACAAGTATTTGTTGAATTGCTACTACACTGTTGGAAGGCATTGAGCATATGGCAATGTTCAACACAGAGTCCTAAACCCCATTAATTACTATAATTAGACAAAATAATCTTACCAACTTAAACTTCTGGCATGGGGGTAGGGAACAGAACATTTATGGAGCCAGTATATATATCTGAAAATGCTTAAAAATATTGGGGTGCCTGGGTGACTCAGTTGGTTAAGGTCTGACTTCGGCTCAGGTTTACGGGCTTGAGCCCCCTGTTGGGCTCTGTGCTATCAGCTCAGAGCCTGGATCCTGCTTTGTGGATTCTGTCTCCCTTTCTCTCTGCCCCTCCTCCTATGCTCATACCCTCTCTCTCTCTCAAAAATAAATAAAACATTAAAAATATATATCTTGGGGCGCCTGGGTGGCTTAGTCGGTTAAGCGTCCGACTTTCGCTTAGGTCATGATCTCGCGGTTCGTGGGTTCGA